GCATGTGACAATGTGATACCTGGGTTTGTCCATATTTTACCCAGCGCTGGGTTGTATTTAACCCAGCATTTTTTAGAATGTACAAACAACATAAGGGTGAGTATTTTGGCCTAAAGTATTAAGTTTAAAACAGATGGAGCAGAAGACTCTCAAACAAATGCAATTAAAAGGCAACAGACCATATAATACTCATTGTACTGTTTTAGTGTCTGATCACAAGAACACTATAATGTTGCAATGGTAGAGTCAAAGGAAAGTAAGGCAATTCATTGAAATCTACTTAAACAAATTAAGCAACATTTTTTTTTATTATTTTCCCAATAATGCATTATGTGAACATTAAAAGTAAGTTGATAAGCCAAAAAATTTAATTAAATTAAGGCTATAAACCTTTCCAGCTATGGAAATGATTCCTCTTGAGCTAATATGTCATGCTTACTACATTTAATGGGTACAGACTAAGCAAAAAAACCTGCTTCAGTATGAGCTGTGGAAAGTTAGAAAAATACTGCAGAGGGATGAGCAATACATTTCCCCAAAAACATGCAGACGTGCTGCTTCACTGGCCAACAAAAAAAGGAAGCCAGGGATCAACAGTACGCTAACGAACTCAGTGGGAACTAGTTTACATTTCTTCAGCAGAATGAATTGGCAGGAATAACTGGCAGAGAACATAGAACGGAAGCGTAATATTTTGTGTTTGGCCTGTCGCAATAATCAATATATCGACTTATCGCACAATATATGTACAGGACCTCAATAATTTTTGGTGATGCAATATATTGCCCATTATATTTACATAAAAATTAATGTCATCATTTTTTTTGCATTCCACTTGCGCCTATGTCTTTTGCAGCTTCTCGAACATAACGTGGTGTAGTTGGTGCTAGTTCAAATTTACAAAATGCTTCTACAAAAAAGTTTCATCTGCAGATATAGCCTTGTTTAGGGATCTGTGCCTTTGTGCATACGGCCATTGACGGCTAAGCATGGTTGGGTATCGTTTGGGTTTTTTCGATACCGGTGCCAAATCGATACTTTTAAAACGGTTCCGGTGCCTAAACAGTGCCTGAACC